AGGATCCCACTCACCTCTCCCTGGCCGACCTGCTTCATCTTCATAATAAGCTAAGCTCCTGTTCTTCTGTGTTTTACTATATACACCTTCCTGGTCTCATCACCTTCGTCCTCCACCAGCGTTCCTGCCCTGCATCTGCAGGGCCATGTTGGACCAAGATCACTTTCATTTAAAATAAACATTTTAAAACTTTGTTTCCTGGAATGTTTGCATGTGGGTCAAGAAACTTTCTAAAACCATGACAGACATGAGAGGTGGCAGGTTGCGAAACACAGCAGTGCCGATTTAGCGACTTTGTCGCTATATTTACCAAGTTTCTAGAGGCTGTTTTTTAGGAAAGCAACTAGTGAAAATCTAGCGACTCTTTTTCTGGTATATTTTATGTTCAACTTGAATGGATCACACATTGTTGCACTAAAATATTAAAATCACAATTATTGCGCAATATACAATTGCACATATTGCATTAAAGTTGTAGTCAAACACTCTTTATCAACTGGTGAAAAACACTATAAATTCAAATAAAACACCTTTTTCATTCAACTATTTTTAAATTTTACATTCTTGATTATTTCAAATGCTGCCAATGTATCTGTTTTGGATGTTTTCATGTCCCGAGAGGAAAAAAAAACCTGGTATTAAATGGGTTAATTCTGATGTTTTGCAGTGAATGTTTGAGCATTGCAGGTCCAWTTTCTGAGTGATTCATCAAATCAGCAGCAGCAGTGTGTCAGTAATTAATTATTGCAGTCCAGCTCGCCAGCAGAATAATAGCACGTTAAATTAGCAGGCACAGTGGAGAACTGATGAGCTCTGTTCAGTTTTGTTTACAGCACTGGCTGCCCTTTGCGCCAATGCATCCCACTATGACTGTGTGCAGAGAAGAGGAGGCTGAGCTACTGGTTGCAGTGGGTGAAATCAGAAGAGGATTTCCTGACGACACTGCGAGAAACACCTTTAAATATTTGATTTAAAAAAAGACGGATGAGCTTGAAATAAAACAAATGTGTTTTTGCCTGCTCACCACACACAATGCAGCCTAAAGTAATAAATGATGTCACCTTGTTGGTGTTTTTTCTGCTGCTTTAGAAATGAAGACTTGCTGACAGAGAGCGTGTTTCTGCAGGAAACACACGAGCTTTGTTTATCTTGAAGCTTTTATTCCTCCTCCTGCTCATACACACTGCACATCCCTCCCCACCACGCTTCGTTTTTTTTTTTTCTGCCTCTCTGCATTTGACAGCCTCCCTCCCTTTTTCTCTCGCCTCCTCCCTCTCTGATTAGGCGTTACACCGGCAAAACACTCCCTCTAAGCGGGGAACAAACACTGGAGCAGCTCCCCCCCCCAACACATGATCCAACCTTCCTCGGATGTGCGTCTGACAGGTGGGTACGCTGGCATGTTATTATATGGACACGGTCTTTTTAATTATGTATTTTCTTTTAATTCGCCTTTTTACGCGTAATGTGAAGCAGCCGCGCTGCGCTGCGGCGGATCAGGCTCCTCACGCCCGGAGCAGGCGCTCGGTTCTCGGAGTGAATTCATGACGAGCAAGTTGTTGCGTCGTTTTACGCCTGCTGGTCCAGTCAGTTACAGAAGAGCAAACAATTTTAATTCCCCTCTCCTGTTGCTTGAACAGCTACTTTAATTCGACACAAACCTTCATTTTTGGGCGAGGTTATTTTTTTTTTATGTCCATTAAATTTACAAGCTGCAGTTTTGAAACGCTTAAGGCCCCCAGCCTGTCAGGGCAAACTGGATCTGCTCATGGGTTAGTCAGTGTATTCTCAAAACACACCCATTACTAATAATGCTGCAGCCTCACTGTGCACACACACACACACACACACACACACACTGTTCTCCATACAGTGTTTCCCAAAGTTGGGGTCGGGACCCAAAGTGGGGTCCCAAAACATCAAGGTGGGGTCCTGAAAAGATTTTCTGAATTAATTACATTTTTGTCTTAGTTGTTACAAATGAGTGAGGTTAGTATATTTAAAATGGATAAATGTAGTATAAGAAATATTGTTACTATGCCCATGTTTTGTTGACCTGATACAAATGTTTATCATCCAAAAATATTTGGGGGCACAGGTCTCTGCTACTGTTATTTTGTGGGTCAAAACCTGAAAAGTTCGGGAACCACTGCACTTTGGTTCCCAAAGTTGGGCTTGGGACCCAATTATGGGTCATGAAGCACCTTGGATAATCTCCAGAAATCAATTTAAAGGGTAATAAAATTATTGCTGATGTAATATTTTCCCTATAATTATTACAAAAACACAAAATAAGTAAAAATAAGTATTTATATTTGTGTACAAGCTGTTTAGATTGTCAAAARGTCTGTGTTTTTATGGTTATTAACGAAGTTTATGTACTCAGACAAGTAATATTTGGGGTCACAAGCTTTTGCAATGAATATTTTGTGGGTCAGAAGACAAAAAGTTTGGGAACCACTGCTCTACACCATCAACAGCTGCAAAACGTGTGTTTTATTTGCTTACACCTAAAGTTACCTACTTAAAGTTTGCCTTCAAGTGGCAGTGAGTGAGTGTGTCAGAGATGTGCATGATGTTGGTGTGACAAGCTGACACCAGTGGTAATAAAGCTCGCCGCAGAGCAGTGGTGTAGCAACAGACTTGGCTTGCAGGTTGAGGCAAATCCATGTATGCAAAAAGGCTTTTGTTTGGTCTCCTGACAGCCTGTGTGGAGTTCGGCTGGYCTATAGTTAATTCATGTTGTACATTCCTGAGTTCAGGAATTTTTCTTTTTTTTTAAATGTCAAGTATCTGTCATGAATGGTTACCACCTGCCGTCAAAAATAAATAAAAGTGCACACATTTGGGTACAATTATGAATTTATCTCATTAACCATTGAACAAATTTTAATGTAACTTGCAGAAATCGATCCTGTACTATTGGCACAGCCCATCAACCTTAAAAACACAAAAACACACTCAGTTTCAAAGATAATTAGCTACAGTTTGGTGTGGTAGTAGCTGAAACTGATCCACAATGTACGTATAGTTTGATCCCACAATATCTGCTACAATTTTTTGTCATTGACAATTTGCAGCCAACCGTGTTTGCCTGTTAGTTGAATATCTCAGGAACCAGACATGTTTTAATGATGTTTGTAGACATCGTGCCACAGTAAATGGTCATTAACCACACAAAGCTGTAGTTTTACAGATGTTGACCTAAAATTTGAAGCTGAGATTCATTTATTTACCATACTCTGAGTGTGACAGCTCACAATATGGCATGAGACCGCTCATAATGTCCTTTTCAAAGTTTGAACAAAACAGCTATATTTTCTCATCATAAGAGGATCTGTAGAGTGCGGGCATGCAAGGAGGTGGGTGATATACATTCATCAAGGAATAGGCCTTTTTGTTACCTAAATTTTTTTAATGTATTGGGAAATTGCATTTCTAATTGAATCTAATTGAAACTAGTGATTCCAAGGGAACTTTTTTGTCGCAGATTATTTTTGTAGTAATTTTGCAATTAAATGCAAATTAACAAATCATCTTTCACTGTCGCAGTTTTATGATGAAAATTGTGTTGTTCTGCCGCCCCATTGTCATCCCCTCCACATAAGAACTTACTGTGTGAATGGTCAGAAGTTTGTGGTCATGTTTTGTTTATGYTGAAAATGCTTGGACGCTGCATTTTACTTCAACTACTCACTTCCAAGAAAAAAACAAACAAACAAACTAYTTGCTTCCAGAAGCTGACTGTTGTACAGATATTTAGAAAGATTATCAAACAGCCAAAAACTCCTGAATGGAGATAAAACAGATGTTGTGCATGAAGGAATCCCAAAAAAATGTGGAGCTTTAATCGGGACAGATTTGTGGAAAAATAACGGCGAATCAGAGTTTTTAAATTTTACCTCCCCCATGTGCAGTGATGAATCCTGCAGCAGGAAGGTTTCCCAGGAGCTTGGCGCAGTGTGTCTCAGGAGCTACGAAAAGTTTGTGTGAAAACGAATGTTGAACAACAACAACGTGACTGCACATCAACTGTTCAGCTTCAGATGGTAGACCTTTACCTTTGTGAAGGCACGTTGGCTCAGTTGGTAGAGCTGTTTCCTCTCAGCAAGAAGGTTGTCAGATCAAATCCCAGCTGGAGACCTTTTTGGGTAGAGTTTGTAATTTCTCTGCGTTTTCTCCAGGTAGTCCTGTTTCCTCCCGATTTAGCTTCGACTGCCTCTCTCAAAGCTTCACTCTTCAGCTACTGAACAGGGGTCCAGTTGTTTTATCCACCGTGTTTGTGGATTTGTCGTGTCCTGGATGAATCTACACCGGCATACTACTTTATTTCCATGAAATATGATAAGATGTACCAAGCTATGTCGAGTATTTTCAGATGACTTTGATGCACCTCCCCATCACCTCCATTAGCATTACTCTGTGTGCAGATGAAAACTTTGTAACACCATGCAATTAAGAAAAACATTGGTCAAAATCCACTCCATAGCAAAGACTCCATGACTTTTCTAACCAAGTGAATAACAACGACTTACCCCGAGCATAAAAATATAACTTATATTGCGACAAGTTAAAAACATCTTTAAAAAAGATGGTTAACTAGTAACATCATAAAATTAAATAATTTACTTAAATTTTTTGTTGACTCCAAGAAAATAAAAAGCTTAAACACAACAAAAACAAAAYAAAACAACCCAAATAGCCCAGTTTTAGTGTCAATGGACAGTGCCCATTAACAAGCTTAGAAAAAAAAATTAGTTTTAATGTAGAGCAAGTCCACCACACATAACAGTGGTTTGTTTGTGTATTTGTCAGGATCCATGGAGAAAAGATCACATAAACCCAATGTAATAAAGATGGACTTCTCTAGATCAGTGTTTCCCAAAGTTGGGAAACATCAAGGTGGGGTCCTGAAAAGATTTTCAGAATTAATTACATTTTTGCCTTAGTTGTTACAAATGAGTGAGGTTAGTATATTTAAAATGGATAAATGTAGTATAAAAATATTGTTACTATGCCTGTCTTTAGTTGACCTGATACAAATGTTTATCATCCAAAAATATTTGGGGGCACAGGTCTCTGCTACTGTTATTTTGTGGGTCAAAAGCTGAAAAGTTTGGGAACCASTGCAYTTTGGTTYCCAAAGTTGGGCTTGGGACCCAATTATGGGTCATGAAGCACCTTGGATAATCTCCAGAAATCAATTTAAAGGGTAATAAAATAATTGCTGATATAATATTTTCCCTATGATTATTACAAAACCACAAAATAAGTAAAAATAAGTATTTATATTTGTGTACAAGGTGTTTAGATTATTAAAAAAAACTGTGTTTTTAGGGTTATTAATGAAACTTATGTACTCAGACCAGTAATATTTGGGGTCACAAGTTTTTGCCGTGGATAATTTGTGGGTCAGAAGACAAAAAGTTTGGGAACCACTGCTATAGATTATAATGCTCTAGTTAACTTTCATCTTTAGTGCCTAATTACAATTCTCAAATTAGTTTTTTTACATGAAACTGTAACTGGATAAATGCATTTAGTGGTAATTATGTGGTTCTAAGGCAAATCATTAAAGTCATAAATAATTTTATACAGTTCAAGTGTAGTTCTACACATTTTTAGAATTGTTTACTCACTTTTTGTCTCTCCATTGTTAAAACTTATCTACAGCTTGTGTCACAATTACATTGAAATGACCAATATGCAAATTAAATAATGTAATAGCAATGTGTATAGCATGTTGTCAGTGTGGAAGATTTCTTTGAGGACGTATTTGTTCTAAGACAGCAGATAATCTTGAATTCATATGACTGTTTATGGGTTAGTTCATTGAAAGAAAATCAGTAAATTGGTTTGGGCCATAAAACCAGAATTGGTGTATTTTTATTGACTATGTTACAGTTTACATTTCAAGTAGGGCTGCAGCTAATGATTATTTTAATAATCGATTAATCTGTTAATTATTTTTTTGATTAATTGGCCAAATCATTAAAAAACTTAATTACATAAATATAAGTATTTATAAATTAACTTGATGGGATGCAAGTTATCGATTAATAAATCTGAAGTTGATTATCGTATGGATTGACTAACAATTGATAAGCAGCCATTTTCTCTTGAATCAAGAGGGTCTTTTCATAACACAAAGTATTTTTTATACTCTGCTGAATTAAAAAACAGAAACACATCATAAATATTTTAACAATTTTGCCAGTTGTATTAAATACTAACTGAAAAAAATGTGTATTTCTCAAACATGAAACAACAGAAATTTAATAGGTTGCTGAATGAGAAAAATAGATGAAAAGAATAAAATGGGATTTTTAGATGTAAAACTATTATTAATTTATTATAATTAGAAATGATTTACATTTAACATTTAT